CTAGAGCAAAATGGACATCGCCAACAAACTCGGAGTGCTTGGGTATGGTTAGGAGGGCACTGACTTTTCTAGGATTCCCTATGTATGTTTCCTGGTAAAATACATGGGAAAATCCCATTGGAGGAAAATTCCACTTAGGGTTAGAGTTACGTCACCATGAACTCCTAGAGCAAAATGGACATCGTCAACGAACTCAGAGTGCTTGGGTATGGTTAGGAGGGAACTGACATTTCTAGGCTGCCCTTCTCTATGTTTCTTGGTAAAATACATGGGAAAATCCCATTGGAGGAAAATTCCACTTAGGGTTAGGGTTACGTCACCGTGAACTCCTAGAGCAAAATGGAAATCGCCAACAAACTCGGAGTGCTTGGGTATGGTTAGGAGGGCACTGACATTTCTAGGCTGCCTATGTATCGTTTCTGGTAAAATACATGGGAAAATCCCATGGAGGAAATCCACTTAGGGGTAGGGTTAGGGTTACGTCACCGTGAACTCCTAGAGCAAAAGGGACATCGCCAACAAACTAGGAGTGCTTGGGTATGGTTAGGAGGGCACTGACTTTTCTAGGCTGCCCTTTCTATGTTTCCTGGTAAAATACATGGGAGAATCCCATTGTAGGAAAATTCCACTTAGGGTTAGGGTTACGTCACCGTGAACTCCTAGAGCAAAATGGACATCGCAACAAACTCGGAGTGCTTGGGTATGGTTAGGAGGGCACTGACTTTTCTAGGCTGCCCTATGTATGTTTCCTGGTAAAATACATGGGAAAATCCGATTGGAGGAAAATTCCACTTAGGGTTAGGGTTACGTCACCGTGAACTCCTAGAGCAAAATGGACTTCGCCAACAACTCGGAGTGCTTGGATATGGTTAGGAGGGCCGTCGCTTTTCTAGCCTGGCCTATCTATGTTTCCTAGTACAATACATGGGAAAATCCCATTGGAGGAAAATTCCACTTAGGGTTAGGGTTAGGGCACCATGAACTCCTAGAGCAAAATGGACATCGCCAACAAACTCGGAGTGCTTGGGTATGGTTAGGAGGGCACTGACTTTTCTAGGCTGCCCTTCTATGTTTCCTGGTAAAATACATGGGAAAATCCCATTGGAGGAAAATTCCACTTAGGGTTAGGGTTACGTCACCGTGAACTCCTAGAGCAAAATGGACATCGCCAACAAACTCGGAGTGCTTGGGTATGGTTAGGAGGGCACTGACTTTTCTAGGCTGCCCTATTCTATGTTTCCTGGTAAAATACATGGGAAAATCCCATTGGAGGAAAATTCCACTTAGGGTTAGGGTTACGTCACCATGAACTCCTAGAGCAAAATGGACATTGCCAACAAACTTGGAGTGCTTGGATATGGTTAGGAGGGCACTGACTTTTCTAGGCTGCCCTATGTATGTTTCCTGGTAAAATCCATGGGAAAATCCCATTGGAGGAAAATTCCATTTAGGGTTAGGGTTACGTCACCATGAACTCCTAGAGCCGTGGTTCTCCATCTGTTGGTCGGGACCCCATTTGGGGTCGAATGACCATTTCACGGGGGTCGCCAAACCATGCTGTCCGCCATTTTTTTCCCTTTTCCCTAGCTGTCCTAATCCCTCTTATTGGTGGTCACACCCACTTGGGGGTCACCACAACATGGGGAACTGTATTATGGGGTCACGGCATTAGAAAGGTTGAGAATCACTGGTTTAGTGATTGTTTGGATTTTTTCAGCCTAGAAATGATATGTCTACTGTATTTTCTCATTCCACATCCTTTACAACCAGAAATAAGCTAAAGAGTGATAATGGTCAGCTGCAATCATCAAGGAAGCCACCTGAACTTTTGAAGGCATTGCTTTTACTAAATGCTGCTGCTACTGCTGTTGCAGCAGCAAAATGGTTAATTTTGAAACAGCATCAGAGGAGGTGCTTCTTCCCTCATCTATTCCCCTCCTTCTTTCTTTTTTCACCATTCTCAATTGGGGGATTTAATTGGGTTCTCATATTTGGTTTACCATATCTCCACTATTGTATTTGATTACATTTTTAGATATGGTGTCCTTATTCCACACAGTCAGATTTGTTGAGTGTTTAGGGAAGGAATGAGGGAATCCATGAGGGAACCCAGACTCCAACGTGGCTTTCTCACCCAGCTTGACAATATTTACAACGTTGCTTTTTTGTTTTGTTTGTTTTCTCAAAGCACATATGCAGTTCTAGAATAAAGTAGAAATCTATTTTGAAGCAATAAATCAAATTATATAATTCCAAACAAAGCATGTGAGGAGTTCACTGCTTTTCTGCAGTGAATTCTTATAGAAATTACAGTGGTTCAACTTCAGTTCCATATATGGAGAACATTGAGAACATTGTGTACAGGGAGTCTTCATCTGACAACTTGTTCAACAACCGTTCAAAGTTGTAACAGTGCTGGACAAATGGTATTTACAGCTAGTCTTCAAAATATTAGTCATCCCAGCACCCCTATGGTCATTTAAGATCACAACCTGGGACCTTGGCAACCAGCTTGCGCTTACAGTGGTTGCATCCCTGTGTCACATGTTTGCCATTTGTAACTTTCAGCTTCCCAAAGCAAAGCTAAGTCAATGGGGAAACCAGCAGAGAAGGTTGTGCATTGCTCCAGTAAGTTACTGATACCCTCCCCTGCCCAGCGGCAGCCACAACTGGCCTTGCTATTCTCATGCCATCTTCACATCATATGTTACCTGCTTGCTGGCCTGCTTGTGAATCACCTGGGCTCACTTAATGACCCACAATTCTTGCTAACAATGACAGTGAGGAGCACTGGGATTGCTGTTGCTAAGTGCAATCACTTGATGTTGCACATTATGACCATATTGCTTAGCAATTGAAATTCTGGCCCCAGTTATCATCATTAACCAAGAGTGGAATAGGCTTTCTGACAATAGCATGAAATGCCAATGAATGAGATTGATCATTCAATAAACTCTGTATAATGAACCTAGCCTTAACTACCACTCTCTTGTTTGAATTGATGCTTCTGTGCTGGACTTCCCAAAGGGAACTCAGCTTACAGTAGCTCTCAGCATTCTAAATACAAGTATTGGCCCAAACTTTTATTGTTCATCAAAGAGGAGTGAGGTGGGAAGGCTTCATTTTCTCTGTATCAGGCCTTTTCTTTCTGGCTTGCCAATTTTTATTCTGTAAGAATGGATTTCTTTTTTAAAAAACACCCTCTCTTCTCTCCATCCTTTTGCAAGTTGAAGAATGTTTTTACACAAATATTCCTTTGACTGATAATGAACTTCAATTATATAGCACAGACTGATAAATATATATTGAATAGAAGAAGAAAACATATTCTATCATTATGTAATGAATGGGTCATAAAAATTAGGTTATGACGTCATTGCTTGGTTACTGTTTTGATGGTTTCATAAATAGTATTAATATAATACTGTACATTACTGTATGTTGCCTGTTTAATATAATACTGTATATTGCCTATGTTGTTACACAGCTGAACAAATAAGATAAAATTAGTATATTTGAAAACTCTCTAAATTTATATCTATATATCTATATCTAATTATAACTCCAATTATTGTGAGATTTGTTTCTTTTGCCTTTTTGTTATAGAGTCCAAACTGGAGTACAAGATACTTTTTTTACTTTTGAAGTTTATAAAGATGAGATCACAATGCAACTAATTGACAAGGCATGCCAAATGTTAGGTATGTATAGTTTTGAACTAATGCCAAGACCCAGGTATTATTCATCATCATCATCGACAACAACAACAACAATAACAACATCACCATCATCTTCTTATGCCTTTGTGGAAGTTTTTTTTTTTTCATGTATCTTCCCATTTGCCCTATTGTTACCCTTGACCATAGTTATAAGCTGGAACTATCAGAAATAGGACCCAGTTGCACGCTCCTGAAACGCTGTCATTTTTCTCACACATCACAATGTTTTCAATACAAGTAAATTGAGGCTTTGCAGCAAAGACACTTCCTCTGATGTCAGATATGAAAAAAAAATTGACAACTGGACAAATGCACATAGATTGAAATGAAAATCTGTCTTCTCTCTCTCTCTCTCTCTCTCTCTCCTCTCTCTGTATGTGTGTGTTTGTGTGTGTATGTGTGTGTATAAGTTTGTGTGTATATGGCATATCCAATTGGCATAGTGTGCTCCCTGCATGTTTTCAAGTCTGGAGATAAATTATGGATGTGCATCAAAATGCTTCTGAAGAATTTGGGGAAAATAATGGTGATAATGTGGAAGTATTCTAAATTAACTTGAATAAACTGGTTACTAATCTTGAAACATGAGCATTTAATATGATAATAATATATTTATTTTCCTAGATGTTTCCCCAGATATGGTCCTAAAACAATTTGGAGAATATTTCTTTGAATTCTGTAAACAGTCGGGTTATGACCATATGCTGAGAACACTGGGAGGAAATCTGTATGAATTTATAGAGAACCTGGATGCATTACACGGTTACCTCAGTCTGTCTTACCAGGCAAGTGGAAATGAATTCTATAAGAATAGTGGAAAAATCCGATTCTTCTTTATGAATTCACTCATATTCTCAATAACAAGATAGGAAAATTATGATGTACATGTATGTGTGTACATGTGTGGGGGTGGATGGGTGTCTGTATCGAGTTCTGATGCCTTACTTGGTTGCTCAAATCTGATTCTCATTTTAAATATGCATGTTTTTACCAAATCAAATTGTTTCTGTCAGACAACTGGCAATAATATTTTTTATTGTGACCTTACTATCATCAGAACTGAGGCACTTCTGTTGTAATCCTGAGAAAGATCCATCTTTGGAGATTCCATTTGGATTTGAGAAACATCAGTGGGATAGTCTCCCCCACTTTCCATTAAATGCCAGCTTCAGGTGACAGATTTTTCCAAGGAGTGCAGCAGACAGGAAAACATTGAATTCCCACAATGCATAAAAATGTTCTAGGTGATGATGTTTGTCTTTCAAAATAAAACCTGTATGACAAGTAGAAAGTTATTTGACAGAAAGAATAGAAAGGAGACTTAGCTGTAGAATCCCTGCTTGCACTTCCACCATTGAGGCTCACCATTTTAAAAAAAAAAGTTTTGTAGTATGCAGTGGGAAAGAGAGCATCGAGAAGTTGATGTGTGATTAGAAGAAAAATTAATCTGATAATAAAGATGATGGACATGTAAAAAGCTGTTGTTATGTTCCCACACTGCTATCAAGGAGCAGAGTTCTGATGCCTCAAAATGAGCAACAATTGCAATGTTTCTTTTACTATAGTGTCAGTTATTGAAATATGCACGTGAGCCATCGTGGAGGAATGGTTGGTGAATTGGCAAAGCTTGCTAGGATGAACAAACTGACTTCTTTGAGAGAAAAAGGACAACTCCTACTTTTATTAGTGATTGGAAACCCCTTATGAACATTTTGTGTAAAAATGGGGAAAAGATGAACTTGTGATTTATGGTTTTGGTCATTAAACAGGATATATTATAGAAAGAAGAAAGTCATGATGTAACTTTAAAGAGAGAAGTTAAAATAGAATTGTACTTACCATTGCTCTGAAGAATATCAGAAGCTACTTCTTTATACCTTTACTATATCTTTCTCTGCAGCAAGGGTAATATTATTCCTTTTGAGTGTTTTTCAGGAGATGAATGCTCCTTCCTTTAGGGTAGAAAAGAATGAAGATGGGTCAATGTATTTGCATTATTATTCAGACAGAAGAGGCTTATGCCACATAGTTCCAGGTAACTTGATATATGTGCATGCGTTTAATATGGGTTTTGAAATGCTGAGGTTTTAACCAACAATGATTATATTAATGTTTGTGGGCTTTCCTTTTGATAGCTACTTAGCTAACTAGCTAGCTAGATATGTTAAGTTCAAACTTCAACTATCACAAAATTTCCTTCTCCTGTGGTAGACCACCAGACCTGTTTAAAGTAAGATGATGATGGTGGCATTTACCATCCTCATGCTTTATTGAGGAATTCTCTTTTTTCGGAGATTTATATGGAAATAACATGACAGTAGATAAAATATTTATTACAGGCAATCTTTAGCACCTTTTATTTTATTGTATTTTCAATTCTATTCTGTATTTTTTATTTCCTTAGAATTATTATTCTATATATTTTTTGCCCTGAAAAAGGGTAAGAGGGACAGATGAAGATAATTATAATACCAGTAGCCAAATAATTAATGAGTATAGAATATTTTAAATATATAACTTTTTTTTTAATTTTTCTGAGCTCATGATTTCTCACTACTACCACCAGTCTGAGGGATAGAAGTTGAACAAAGTAATTAATGAACACTAGAGCTGTATGAGATTTGAACCAATAAAACATATTTTTTGGAAATAAAATCTACTTATTAAGGCTGACAATTGAGATTATAGTTGTTGGCAGACTCAGTGTATAAGGGAACAAACATTGCTTGAGTGCTTGAGTACATATGCTAAGGATAATATTACATAAGCATGTGTAATATCGCCTGGATTTTTTTTTTCTCTTTGGATTCAGGAATCATTGGTGCAGCAGCTTTGGACTTTTTCAATACTGAAATTTCAATGGAAATTGTCAATCAGACAGAAGAAGAAGAAAGAACAGGGAAAAAAGAACACATTGTATTTCTTGTAACACAAAAACCTGTTTTTTCATACAAAAGAAGAAACAAGTTCTCTTCCTCACACTATCTTCCAAATTCTGGAGCTCAAGCAGAGAAAAGACTGAATAAAGAGGTACTATCATACTTTTTTTGTGTGTGAGTGGTATGGTAGCCTAGTGGTGAAAGCACTTGCCTCCCACTTGGAAGGTTGAGAGTTAAATCCTAGGTAGCAGCAAATCTTTCTCTCTCAGGATGCAAAGAGAGAATATGAACTGCGAACTCCGTTTAGGCAGCATCTGGTCAGTAAACGCTCAGATCCATTCCAGTCACACTGACTCTAAGGAATTAGAGGGTCACAATCAAAGGGTAGCTCCATAATGGAGTCATTAAAAAATAATGCTATTTTGTGCAGAAATATCAATGTGTGTGTGTGTGTATGCATATGTTTCTAGGAGTATACAAAAGTATCAATTTATACATGCCAACTCTGAAAAATGTACTTATAATTGAGATGGCATTTGTACAGGAGCAGAGGTATAGTACAAAAATTCAAAATGGCAGCCACAATGCCAAGTGTTGCTTCTTATTGAAGAGAGACTGGCCAAGACAGGGAAAAGTCAAACAGGGAATTACTCCAGAATCCCTAGGTGAGCATAAAATAGCAAAGTCTGACTCCACCTTGAGTGCCATTGAACCTTATCTAGTCTGACCCAGTTGCAAACCACCAGTTTGTCAGATTAGATAAGGTTCAATGGCATTCAAAGGGGGGGGTGTCAGACTTTGCCCTTTTATGCCCACATAGGAATTCCAGACTAATTCCTCATTTGACTACTTCCCCTGGTTCAGTCAATTTCTTTCCAACACTCCTAGTGGTTTTCTAAGTACAGCCCAGGTCTGTTTTTAATTAGCTTTTTCAAGGTTGATAAGAGCTTGCGGCCATGCATATATATTTCAGTATTCAAATCTCTTCATAACGGAATTTGGCATGTTGTAACTGTTGTATGTATACATACTGAAAAATAAATGTGTTTAGATTTTTCCAAGGATGAGCCTAAACTATAATATTTGTATGTGTTGTTGCATGCTTACAAATCTGAGGGTATAAATGGATAAGTACATCCAAAAGTGCTTCAATGTTTTTGAAATAATGAGGCATACTTGTACTTATTTCAAGTAATTACAAATATGAAGCGTGGTGTTTTAAATTGTAATTGTGTTTCACAATTACATTTATTCTTTTGTTAGGAAATAGTTTATTTCTTAGTTTGAAAAATATGGTTAAATTTTTTTTAATTGCTTTTGATGTATTCCACAGGAACGTGAAAGAACCATGAATAAGATTAGAGATAAAACAAGTGTCAAAAGGAGCCACTGGGAAACAATCAGAGGAATTGTGACAATAGGAAAAGGTAAATGGTTTGGCTATAATGTCAGTCATTTTTTAATAAAAAAGGTAAAGGTTTCCCTGTCAGTTGTTTCCGACTTTAGGGAGCCAGTTTCTTGGCTGAGAAACCCAGCGTTATCCAAATTTCCATGGTCATGTGGCCAGCATGGCTATACGCCAAAGGAGCATGAAATGCTGTTACCTTCCCACCAAAGTGGTACCTATTAATCTACTTGCATTTGCATGCTTTCGAACAGCTAGGTGAGCAGGAACTGTGGCAAGTAAAGGTAGCTCACCCCATTGTGTGGATCATGGGTCTCGAACTCAAGAAGTCAGCTCTCTAGTAACAAGTTCAGTGTCTTTAACCGCTGAGCCATCGTTTCCTTCTAGCTTTTTAATAGCTTCTATTAAAAAACTAAGCTGAAAACATTTACAGGGAAACCCATAACTGATTCCAAATTCTGATTATATAATCAATCAATTTTGCTTTTAAAATGTGAATTGTTGGTAGTACAAGCCAAACAAGGCAGGGGATGAGATGTTATATTTTAAAAAAATATATGACAGGACTGCTGATATGCAAAGGGGTACAGGAATTTACTGTATTTTCATTTTTACAGGCTCTTAATTCTTCCATTTCAGTCTGGTTATGTATGCTTTTCTTTTAATGCTCCAATTCCAAACTAATATTAGAATAAATAGTATTTCAGTATTTCAGGGCTTGGAACTGTACCATATTCATATACATAAAAAATCCCCATCGATAGACCTGAGTTCTTGAAAAACAGGAGTGAATAGAAAAATGAATCTTTATATATAAACAAGTACTAGATTGCTTCTGATTCTGCCAATGTATTAAAATGACAATGAAAATATAACTTCTTCTTATTACAGGTCGACTTCTTAGAGGATTTGATCCTGTCTATCCTAGGACCCTCTGGATTGACCCAAAGACTTTTTGCATTGGGCTTCCCTTCCATATTGTTTTTGATGAACAGGTAAGAAAATCAACATCAGTGGACTGTTTTAAAGTGCATGTATGTCTTTCCATAAATAAGTGGGATTTTCTCCCATATAAATGAATATTGGGCATAGATTTGTGGACCATACAATCCTGGAAGAACATACAACTGTGTTAATGTATCACAGATGGATGCTACATGCCCTGAAAATACTTCTGAAGATTTAATCTAAAATCTGTCTGTCTGTCTATCTTATACATTCATCCTATTTTTATTTGTGTTGCCAAATTATCCACTCTAGTGCATACATACATATATACACTTAGTTTATTTTTCCCCCACACATCTTAATAGTTATGCATAACATGATGTGGTCTTGCAAAATGTAAGGTAAAGAATGAAAGGTTAAGAAAACAATTATAGAATGAATGAAGGATTAAGAAAACAGGTGTACGGCTGTTTTCATTACAAGAATATATGAGTAAGCAGGCTGGATCCCTTAAATTCAAAGTTGGCAGACTTTATTTGACTCAGGAAAAACCAAGCAGCAGATCAAAAATAGAGAGAACACATTCAAACAGAATCTGATAACACAACAGAGAAACTATGCTCATCTGCACAAATGATCTATAGAACATAGTATCCTAAATTAGCACTGGTAATTTTTTTATATATGCCCAGAAGGGCTTTAGGCATGTATAACAAAGTATAATGACATCAATATATCACATGCATCCTGACATCCTGAAATGAATGAGTCAGTCATGTATTTTCTTTATGCTTGATACAAGTACATATATTGCATCATTACTGTGATGATGTCATAATGAACCTGTTATTTGCTTCATGCTTGCCTGCCCTGCAATTTACTGTGGAAGAAGCCCTGCGCAAACATCTTTTGTTCTGCCTGCTGCTAGGCAACATGCATATAGAGCAGTTAATTAGGTCTACCCACTGGCTGATCCCTTCGGTATGGATTCAAGAAAGAAATGAGTCCTTTGGTTGTAGATGGATTGGATGTAATAATGAAGATAGCAATGATAACACCAATAATATAATCCCACAGTTTTGGACAATTTATCCAATTAGTAACAAATGTAAAAGGCTACATGTAATGTTTATAAAATGAATTTCTACTGACAGTGGAATAGGATTAGGGAAAGCATAAGCAAGAATCCTGTTTGTTTTCTTTTTAAAGCTTAGGGTGAAACAAGCTGGGGTTAGTATTCAAAAGATTGTGCCTGGCCTTCAAATACTGGGCATCCGTCTCAATCAGTACTTTACTATTGTACGCCCTGAAGTGAAATTTACCATCTCCAGTGTTCAGAGATTTATCAACAGCCAATTTGTTTTCCGGACCAAGAGAGAGATGATGCCGGACTCCTGGAAGCAGCGTCCTATGTTAGAGCTAAGAGGTAGTTTTCCCATTTCTCAATAGCTACAGTATTGGGCAATAACACACTGAAGAGATAACTATGTCATGGGAAAAATACAATTTCTCTCTAAAGTGACACATCTGTTTCCATAGGCTGAATTGCTTCAGTACATGTGATAGAGGCTTCTCCATAAAATATAAAATCTGTGAACATAAAAATTTTATATTAAAAAGAATCTGGCCTTCTTCCTGGCAGTTTTTACATAGGTAAACCCTGAGCTGGTCTTTCAGATAAGAATATAGATCAAAGGTACACATTATGTTTTGATGCAGGGCTGCCACAAGCAAGTGTGCAAGTTGCACACTGCACAAAGTAACCATGTCCCAGGGGTGCCAAATAGTGAGAGTGGTAGTAACCTGGTGCCACATTGCAGGGTGGGAAAATGCCCATTCCAGTGAGTATTCTGTGCATTTGCACATACATTATAGAAAGAAAAGCGAGAATGAAGTGCCAGGAAGCCATAGCTGCCATATGACTTGGCCTTTTGATGGCAAAAAGCTTTTTGCACAAAGGCACCTTACATATCAGTGGCAATTTGGTGTTTCTGTCTAAATTTGGGGGGATGTTGGAAACAGTATTATGACCATTATATGACAGTGTTGCCTTGGCCTTTGATTGCCTTCCCAGTAGATGGGCTGTGATTTTTTTTAATGTTCTGGGTGGGTCAGAAAGGAATCAGATTGGGAAGAATATACTATATTCAATATTTAATGCCTGCCCATCATTATTTGTTTGTTTGAACCAGGGCAGATGATCTGGATGGATTCTGTTCAGTGCATGCTGTACCTTTGTTCCCCTCTGTTGCGTACATTGCATGAGTTGGAGGAAAGACACATGCACATTTCTGACATAGCCCCCCATGATGTCACTAGAGATTTGATCTTGCTCAACCAACAGCGGTTGGCCGAGATGGAGCTCTCCAATCAACTGGAGAGGAAAAAAGAGGAGCTGCGGATCCTGTCAAAACACCTAGAGGAAGAAAGGAAGAAAACAGAAGCCCTCCTGTACGCCATGCTGCCTAAACATGTTGCCAACCAGCTGAAAGAGGGGAAACGAGTTGAGGCAGGTGAATGTCATGAGATACAGACAAGTTTAGATATGTTCAAGACTGTGATCAATAATGACTATGATCTCCGTTGTTTGGAATCAGTGGTAGACATTTAAGGACAATGTATATATAAGCAAGTGCAGAAATGTTTTTATCTTCAAAATGAAGAAATGAGTAAAGCTATGTTAGGTCATCTCCCCCCCCCCTTCGCTGATACACTGCTATCAGAGAAATGTTGTATATTGACTCCATCTCAGTACTGATTTATTTTTCCTTCCAGTAATTTTTTTTTTAAATCTCATGGCCTTCACTCTAAGAATGCTACTTTCTGTCACTTCTAACTTCACATGGTGGGAGTTAAAAACCTTGCTTAACGTTTCCAACAAACAATAATTGATATACTATATCTAGGCTTTCTTATGGAATGCATGCCTTTTTTGTAAAGCTAGTATTTTTTACGTTGAATCTATTGGAGCATTATTTAGAAAAAAATCTTAATATAACACACTACTTTGAAAATGTTTTGCATAGCTTCATGAATATTATCACTTGCCCATTTTCTTTTCTTTTTTTTATTAAAAGTTTTAGAAATTTTTTACAGTATATAACCCAAATCCCTCCCACCCCTCCCCCCACTTCCCAGAGCTGATTACAGACTTGCCCATTTCCTTGACTGATTCTATTTTCAAAGTAACAAAGAAGCTGGATTAATATATTTTGAAAAATATTTCATAATTGATATTTTATAAATAGATGCTAAAATACTAAGTATACTTTATACACTTATACACTATTAAAAAGTTTTATGATCAATTTAATTATGAAACTAGACATGGTTTCTAAAACTCTCTTCTTTTTCCTCTTTAACTATAGGAGAATTCAAAGAATGTACTATATTATTCAGTGATGTTGTGACTTTTACTAACATTTGTGCCCAATGTGAGCCTATTCAGATAGTCCTCATGTTAAATGCAATGTATCTACGATTTGACAGGCTAACCACAGTACATGATGTCTACAAGGTATTTTCAGTTGATATCCTGAAAGTGATATTATGGGGAGAAAGGAATAGAGATGTTAAGAATAACTCCTTTGTAACTCTACTCTGATTTGTAACTCTACTCTGATTTACTCAGAGACCTGTATTTACTTATAGGTTCCCAACAATCTCTGGAAAGTAAAGCATAAATTAAAATATAAATTGTCTGCACCAGTAAACAATCTAGACAAACCTCTGTCCAGAATCTTGGAATACGCTTACATCCTGTTGCTGATACTTCTTTTACCTTGTTCTGCCTTTGTTTTCTCTTTATTGTTTTCTCTTATTGCCCAATTTTCTGCTTGCTTGCTATGAACATTTGTTCCAATACAGAATAATAGATATGGCTCAGGGTTCACCTGTGGAGTCCTTAATGCTCTCTGAACTTGGTTGTTTCTTTTGCAGAGATTTCATAGTCCAACTAAATAACATTAACAGTACAAGTGAGTATCAGGTTTGCTCCCTATTTATAAACAGTAGCTTGCCCTGCCAGTGTTGGTGGGAACTTCTTGTTGGTAATTCCTTGATTAAGATATTATTTTCTGCTTCTTTGTCTTCTAATAAAATAAATAAGTGATAAAGCACATTTATACACCATTCAAAAAAGACAATAAAAAAGCTAAGAAGTAAACAATCTTCTCCAGCAACCAACACCCAGATAATCAGGGATTAACACCAGACAAGCAACCAAGCTCAGAGAGTACCAAGGGCTCCAAACTTTTGTTAATATATTTACATAATTTTTGAATAAAACACTAATGCACAGTGATATAATTAATATTTAAAATGTGAAAATTCCATGCTGATAAAATATCATATTAAAAAATGTAAGAGAACAAATAAAATATATGTCTCCTTTTGTAATGCAGGAAGTTTCACATAAAACTTCACTTGCAAATTGTGAAAGAACCTCTGCACCAACCCTTTTCTTTCCATTTGTGGAAAGAGAAAGACCGACCAGTTCCATCTTCAATCTGGCTGTAAATAATATATTGAATGAAACTCAACATGGTCTTTTGCAATAAGATATTTATCTCTTTACTTCTTTTTTTAGGTTGAAACCATAGGGGATGCCTACATGGTTGTAGGGGGTGTCCCTGTCCCTGTATCAACCCATGCTGAACGGGTTGCCAACTTTGCTCTGGGAATGATCATAGCAGCCAAAGACATAAAAAATCCTGTTTCTGGAAATCCTATTCAAGTGAGCAGAAAATAGAAATACAAAAACATATAATTTTTGTGCATAATAAGGCAGCATCAATAGAGGGGTAGCATCAAAATCATGAGAAGTGATAGTATCACTTTATACTGCATCAGTGAGGCCACGCCTGGACTACTGTGCCCAGGTGTGGTCACCATGATATAAAAAAAAGATGCTGAGATCCTAGAAAGACTACAGAACAACAAAGAAAATAAAGGGTCTGGAGGCTAAACCATATGATGAACAATTAAGATGACTAGATATATCTAGCATATCAAAGAGAAAGATTGGGATGACATTATAGCTGTCTTCTGGTACTTGTGAAGCTGTCGGGTGTGTGGGTGTGTGGGTGTCGATTTACTTGAAAAAGCTGAGGGCAGGATGAGAAGTAATGGGTGAAAGCTCATTAAAGAGAGTTCCAACCTGTACCTAAGGAGAAATCTCCTCACAGTAAGAACAATTAATCCATGGAAGGGCTTGTCTCTTGGAGTTGTGGGTGCTCCATTGCTGGAGGTTTTCAAGAATAGACTAGACAGCCATTTGACCGGGATGGTATAAGGCAGTGGTGGCGAATCTATGGCACAGGTGCCAGAGGCGGCACTCAGAGCCCTCTCTGTGGGCATGCGCACAATTGCCCCAGTCCTAGGCCTTCAGCTGGGTTTTATAAAACGTTTTTACTTTGGGCCTCCGCCGCCGTGTGCAAAAAAAAAAAGGTTCAATCAGTCAATTTCAACTTCTCGCAGGAAAAAAAAAGATCTTCAAAGTTGGAATTGATTGATTGAACTTTTTAGTCCCACCCAGTCTGCCGTTACCACTGCAGCCATGTCCACCCAATTGGCCATACCCACCCAATGGGCCACACCCACCTGGCACTCGATGATGCATAAGTAGGTTTTGGGTTGCAGTTTGGGCACTTAGTCTCTAAAAGGTTCTCCATCACTTGTATAAGGTCTCTTGCCTTGAGTAGGGTTTGGATGAGAAGACCTCCAAGGTCACTTCTAGCCCTATGATTCTATGATTTGACAAGTATGTATTTAAAAAGAGCAAATCAATTCAGCAGATATTTATTTATTTATTTATTTATTTGTTTATTTAAACTCTTGTTCAGATTAGGGTTGGGATCCACACAGGATCTGTCCTTGCAGGGGTTGTTGGAGAAAAAATGCCACGTTACTGTTTGTTTGGAGATACAGTGAATATAGCATCCCGGATGGAGAGCCATGGCGTGCCAAACAAAATTCACCTCAGTGGCAGTGTTTATCAGTGAGTAATGTTACTGTTCTTAAACCATTGCTTTATTACAGCCTGGTCTGGTTAGAAGTTAGGGAAAGAAATTTAAGGAAACTAGAAAGCATTAGTTTGGATTGGACTAGTAAAAACTGTTTTACAGTTATATAGTCTGGATTAGGGATAATATATATTCTTTTCTGCAGTGTTTTATAAATGTTTGAATTTTCCTCTCAAGAAATGAAGGACAATTGATTTTAAAACAATCAGATGTACTCACATTTTAACTGTCTATATTTAATTCCTTGTACTCGTCCAAAGAATAAACTAATTCTCTTCCTCCCATGTATCAATAAGATAAAATTATAAAGAAAACTCTCCTCTCCTGCTCTCCCCCATCTCCTCCCCTCCTCTCCTCCCTCCCCTCCTCTCCCCTCCCCACCTCTCCTCTCCTTTAAAGGCTTCTTCAAAATTCTTTGAGGTTTTTTTTTTTTTTTAGCAATTTTCATTTTCCTAACTTTTAAATAGCATCAATCTAAAGAAAAACGCAGCTTAGTTTTTAATTCGGTACAGCAACTCTGGAAACTAATACTAACATTTACATTCTGCTGGGCTTATTGTAACATTAAAAACATAAGACCGAGAGTAATATATCCATACAAAGATTCCCCTGACGAGAATGAATGAACATATAAGTGTAACTTGATACACATCTGTTCAGACTCATTCCATTCAGTTCAGCGAGCTTATTCCTCAAGTGAAGAAACTTCAGATGAGTTATGATTATATTATATATATATATATGATTATATATTATGATTCCCAGAATTCACAACCAGGATAGCCAATTGCTATATAGTACCATTTCCTGGGTAGGAAATGATAAAACTTCCTCTCCTTGCTTGTTGGATTGATAGCAAGTTTGGCAATAAGTCTTTGATGGTGTCAAACATTTATGGAACACAATATGTACCAAAGTCTCTGTAGTAACAGTGTAGCTTAAATTAAATCAAGAAACTCTATTGTATTACATTATTAATATAGTAATGCAATCTGTAAAAATCTGATCCATGTGCATTCTGTTCCATCATATTAAACTGTTTGCTTTAAAGCCATTTCTTTAATTCCTTAACCAAGTCTTTCTTGAAATCCCCTTTGTGAAGTTTTGCTATCTTGTTTCTCTCTCTTTTTTAAAAAATCATTTATATTGAAAGAAGTTTTTACAAAGATTTTAAAAACTATAGAAACATAGAAGGCAAAACAGGAAAAAGATTAAAAGAATAAAAGAATTGTTAGGAATAACAAAAAAGCAAGAAAAAGAAATATCTAAAGAAGTGACTTGTTTGGAGCAGTTACATCTCCACCTTCCCATACCGCATACCATAGTTCTCTTCTTCCAATAAACAATCTTTTTAATTAGTAAATCCCCAAATCAACAGTTCATTTTTGTCTACTTTTAGCAAAAAGTCTATAAAGAGTTTCCAGTCTTTTATAAAAATAATTTCTTCCTTGATCAAACAATTTAGCCATTTCTGCAAACTTCACCTTCCTTTTGCATCTTGGTTTAACTCCTGGTTTTTCCCCTGCCATATAAATAAACCTGGATAAGTCTTTTTGCCACTACTGAGTTTTGCTGCCTTGCTTCTCAATCGCTTCTCTTCCTGTTACTTTTCTGGCAGCTGTATTTCAACTTCTATATGTGAAAATGATATTTCTGTATATTACATTCTATTTTACAATTTAAAACAATATTCATAGTGATTTACAACAGTATAATAGGTTTATAATACTAAAGTACCAGTGTTCAAGGTGCACGGTCTTGGCAGGATTGGCAGAAAAGTTACAGCTGTAAAAGCTTCTATCTATTTTTCTGGAGCCATGATTCATTTTCTGCACCTCGAATTATAGCAGATCTTACTGTATCAGTTTTACAAATAAAGCCATTCAATACAATGGCCAGTTGTGTGGTAAATGGTGAGTGTCACTATTGCCATTGCTTTAGTAAAGACAAACCTTAAGATCTGTTTGTTGTTTCTGGAACAATAATATGGGGAGAAAGCTATTTCTGTAGAACTTTTCAATTTCCATAAAACTATAGCACTTTCTATAAAACTATTTGTAAAAGGTTGATTGCTGATTTATTGTAGTAAAAAAAAAACAATGACAAACATTATCCATTACTGCTTTTATGGTTCAGATGCCTCAAAGAGAAGAATTTTGACATTAAGGAAAGAGGAGAAATTGATGTGAAGGGCAAAGGGAAAATGCACACTTATTTTCTGGTCCAAAATACAATTGCAACTGAAAATGAGATCATGGGAAGACCAAGTGAAGATGCTGGCCTCAACCACGAATCTTCTCAATTGTCTCAAGATTGTAAGGCTGATGGCAAGCAAAACTCATTCTCACAAGGTACAGGAAAGGAAAAGTAATGTACTATTTTATTTGTTTTGTCTTTCTGATACCCAATTTCTGATGCCATGGTTTATGTATCCAAGACTGTACCACCCATGCATGAAATGAAAGTATTAACTAGCTTAGGAGGGAATCTCAGGAGTGGCAGAAATGACAGAGGGCATTTGAATGCCATATAATACAATGGCCTTGGAATACTGACAGGATGCTGGGAATGCCATCCTTGTGGAGAGCTTGATTGACCGAAAAGGAGAATTTCAAACTGCAAATTTTCTAGCATTTCTTTTTGTCTTTTCTTTAAAGATGTCCCACTAAATTCAGACAAGGAACTGCCTCCTATTGTAGCAATGAAATATGCAGATAGACCCATAGAAAACCACACCAATGTTAAAGGAAGGCATGAATCAAGAACAAAGGATTTAACAGGTAATAAGATGAAAAGTTCACTAATGAGATTAGGACCATAAAGTCATTAATTTCCATCTCCTCTTCATTAAGGGACATAGTATCCATTTCTCCACCATTCTGTGTCTTAAGCTAATGAAAGAATCAACAAGTAATCCATCGTCCAAAGGCAGCAGGGTGCTTATATTTCTGCAACAGGTTCTCACATCACTCTTATTCAAGAGATTAAATGAAGAGGAGAAACTGAATTAAGGTAATGGTGAATTGTGAATAAGAGGAAAAAGTTGATTAGTTTCTCTGACCTTTAGTTTTATAATCATGTTCATTCTCAAGTCTCCTTCAAATCTGAGTTTGGAGATTGTGCATGAGGAATTCAAGTGTTTTGTATCAACTGAATTATGATTTAAATACTTATTGGATTTTGCTTATTTATTCATTTCATTGTGAGTCTGTGGAGAACTTAAGAAAGAAAAAATTGGGAAGACATCCTGTCATGTAGCATGTCTCTGTTAGAATCAGAGCACTGTGCTGCACAGCAGATGATTATCTATATAATACTTAAAGTTTTAAACTCAACCCAATTTCTAAGCATAAGGTGGCTTATGATGTACAAATCCATGATTTTAATGGCCTTCACCAAAGGAATATTCATGTCTTTACAGACAAACTGTGTGATGCAGAGACCTACGCAAGTAGTGGTGTCCAGCAGCCAAACCAAAATCCGTATAATTTCATACAAAGAAGACACAGGCCAGGTGCAGAGACACCACAGATCAGGAATGTCAGGTCTAATTTCTGTAACTTGTTTTAATGTTCACATTAGAGAAGTTTTGTGTCCTATGTTATTATATTTCATTATTGCTCCCTTGGAATGGACGGTACACACTCAATGTACTGTGATCCAGTATGTGTTTTAAGATTGACAGTGTTTTAAGATTTCTTTGTTTCACTGGTAGCAATAACAAAACAAATATCAATATTTTATGGTAATAGTATTGACTTGTATTATGTATGAGTATAACATTACCTCATCTATGACACAGGAGAGTCAGTCAGCATATTTTGTAGTGCTTTTTCTCTTATGTTATATTGCAAAAAAAAAACATAGTTGAATTCAGTTAATATAACAGTTCATACAAACAAATTCAACTGTTTTCCATTCCTGGCCTCTGAACAATATGCTTCCCATTTATTTGTAATTTTATATTCAAGTACGGTTACAAAGTTCCCCAGAATCTACTGTTACCTTTGTTTAGTGTGGATACAACTGCTGTTCCTATGTAGGCCCTGATCCTCATTTTGGAATAGCAAAAGAATTGGTCCTGTCCCTCAGTCTTTTCTTTAACTATGAAAAGTCCAATATCCATATATATGTGTAGCTATACAATATTTTCACCTAAAGACATCCAAATTGACCAAAGGAAGTAAATAAGGAAACATGCATTCCAAGGACCCAGTGCAAATTTCAAATATTTTTTTACTTATGTTATGACTTCATGATGGATATTTTATAATTTTGATGAAATCTCATTTTATTGCAGATGTCCCTCTCCTCTCCCCCTCTTCCATCCACACACTCCAAGACATACAGTATAAGGGTAAAGTATCTTCTTTGTCAAGAGTTTAGGAAGAAAAATAGTTTAGTCTGGAGCTAAAGGTTTTCCCTAACCCTCTAATTAATCTGACAATATATTTAGCACTGATAGAAATAAGGGCAGAAGGAAGGCATCATGGAATTACAAATAAAATTCTTTTCACTGAAAATGGATGATATGTTTTTGACTTTATCAATAGCTTTTTGACTTCCTTATTTAACCCTGCATCACTAAAAAATGAAAACAAAGCACAGGTTCATGACTGTGGCTGTAGCCTTACAGCTGATTAAGGGAGGAGCATATTTCCCAACCAGATGTATTATCTACTAATTTGAAATGATTCTTTGTATGGCCATAATTATAAATGTGTTTTCATGATTTATGGCATTTTCTATTTGGGCAATAAATGTTTTATATGAGATATTAAATTAGCCTCTTTTTATTTTCATGAAAAGAAACGTGATTTAGAAAGAGATATTCATCTGATACACTGATATGCACCTTTGCCTGCTGATATGTGTAGTCTTCTTGTGGGGCAAACATATAGACAATGGACTGGTCCAAGGTACATTGCTAGTGATGGCTACTATCTTGAGTGACCAAACAAAGGCTAACATAGGAGGCTATGTATCAATCAATCAGTCATATTATTTAAATAAAAGCTAAGTATTATGTAATCTTTTCGACCTGTCCTTGAATCATCCTGGTTGTTCTAACTGGAAACAAAGTGGATGAGACCAAGTGTAGTTTTGATGCAACAAATCTGTTATGGTCATACATTTTTAGTCTATCATTAGGCAACATTAGTCATCAATATTCTGAGTACATTGCAGCTGTAATTATTCATGGAAAGTGTTTTTAATTTTTTTTGTTAATAGCATAATGATCACATAAGCCAATTAATACACATATCAATCCACTCAGATCATGGATGACATAGCTCTTATTTCCACATTTTTAAAATAGAGGTTTAAAAGCAGTACACATGACTGGCAAGGTTCAAAACAAAAATGAGATCTGTAGCATTGTTTATATTTCTAATCCTTGTCTAGAATGTTGCCTGACATGAAATACAAATATGTGCATCCTCATAATATAGACAGCTTTAGCGGTAATTGAATGCAATGCACTGAATCAATAAGAATTAGAGAATGATTTAGTCAAATTTTGTCTATGATATGGACACTTGCACAGAATATCTGCTGAGGCTGTTACAAATAATAGCAAAATATATATTTACCAGAAGGCAAATCAATGAGATTGTTCCCTGTCACCCAGTCAGGATGCTTTCCACCACTTCTGTGTTTTTTTCTGGACTTTAGCTATTCTAGTTACTTTCTAAAAATAATCCTGTGACTTTTGTAAAACCCACAAAAAGTTTTGGAATTAATACCCTTGAAAAGTTGGGCTCTGCTTTGCAGAACACAAGCTTCTCCTCCTCCTCCTCCTCCTCCTCCTCCTCCTCCTCCTCCTCCTCCTCCTCCTCCTCCTCCTCCTCCTCCTCCTCCCCCCCTCCTCCTCCTCCATCTAGTAGGAGAAATGAAAGAAGTAGTAAGAATGGTGTTGCCTGGTACCATATTTGGCAGGAGGGGATGAGTATATTAAACTGGGCTACTAAGACTCACTTTAACTTCACATTCAGCTTGGAAACTGCCTGGACAACTTTGTACTACATTCAAAGTCAATGCTACCTTCCAAGTTTGTTGTTGAGGAGAAAATACTGGGTGAGAGAATACCAGGTATACTCCCTTGAAGTGCCAGATGAAACTCCTTTGAGGTGCAGACTAGAAATCTAAATAACATTAAATCTAAATCACGATTATCAATCTGAGAAAGGCTGGTTTGCATCTTCACAGTTTTATTAATCATATCATTTACAAAATAATAAAACTATAGTTCTGATTTACAAATGGTCTATAATTGCTTAAAATTAGATGCTCAAGAGTACATTCGGTTATGAAACAAGGAAACAGAATGCCTACTTACTGAATTAAATACTATTATTAATACTACTAACAATAACTCTAATACACTAAAACATTGAATTAACAGACTTCAAATTAGATAATTTCAGATGCAATTGGCAAAATATCCAAATTTTCATCCCCTGAAATAGGGAACATGTTCATTGCATTTTCTGGATAAGATACTTAAGGATACAAAAACAAGAAAAATAAAATGATGTTATTTTATTCATGTATTTATGCCATTTGCATATCTTGAATTATAAACCAAAAGAAAGGCATATGGCATATTTTTATAATTGCAAAAAAATAAATCTAACAATGCTGGAAAAATATGTATTTTCTCTGCAAAGATTCCCATTTGGGGGGGTATTTAAAAATGCACATTTTCTTTTCTGTGTAATTGTTTTGAATAAGATAACATGAATATATTTGTAAGACCAATGGTTTTGACCACATAGTCCTTGTGCATTTTTCTTTCTGGTTGTATCTATTTTTAATTAAAAATATATAGCTTAATAAACAACCTCATTTTATTTTAAAATGTTAATATTTATGACGAGCATTACATGAAGGAACTAAGCACTCTTTTAAAAAAGCTAAAGTGAAAACTGTTGTACTAATTAAATGCTGCTTAATCCAGTCCTTTAATTCACTGGATTTTTTTTTAGCATGGATGCAAAAGCTGTCCTGATGGTGTCTGTCAGATGTTTTCTTGTCTTCTACTAGAAAAGTCATCCAGTGATCTGAAACATTATTTGCTTGGGTGATTCTCTGAAGGTATTTGCCAAAGTACTTTGCATGAAATAACCCAACCCCTGGGCTACATCAAGATAGTTTATTCCCCAAATCTGCCCAGGTCTTCTAAAAAGTCACCAGTTCACATGTCCTTTTCAATAATGGTGCTTAATTGTTTTGTGTTCTCACTTCGTAAGCATTTGAAAGAATCTTGATTTCCTGAGTAAGGCGACAACAAGAAACTGACAGCCTTTACTTTCCCCCTAGAAAAGAAATGCAGGCAAAAGATTTTAAGTAAAAAGCCTTGTTTTAATTTCTTGAGCAAAAACTTATCAATGCAACACACTAGATTTATTTATGCAAATGGACCCCACCTCAGAACTGACCTCTCCAATGGAAAGGTTTTGATGGTCTAATGCTTGGAAAAAGAAAACATGTGGAAAATGAGATGTTCTGCATCAAAGCATTGAGTGAAATTTGCCAACTGTTTTTTTTTTTTAACTTTCGTGGGGAGGGGGAGGGTATGCTGCCCCTCCAGCTTCAGGTCACATGTTTGTTTCAGTAAGAAAAGTACTCAATACATTGCACAGAATGATAATTATATTCCACAATGGATCCATTATATTCTGCATCTCAGCCTTATAAAGAATTCCCATTTGGAAATATGTCTTCCAAAGTATAGGCTAATAATACTATATTATTAGCTAACTTTGGTGGATATTAAAAAGTAAAGTAAAGTCTGGTATCAGTTACAACAGTACTTGGATGGGAAATCCACTAGAAAATGCTATGTTGGGAAAGTTAAGAAAAAAACCTAAACCACCCAGGTCATGTTCAATTCAACAGTCATCAGCATCTTGTTATCAACGGAAACTAATCAAGGAGAGAAGCAACTTAGAACTAAGGAGAAACTTCCTGACAGTTAGAACAATTTATCAGTGGAACAATCTGCCTTCAGAAGTGGTGAATGCTCCAACATTGGAGTTTTTAAGAAGAGACTGGACAGCCATTTGTCTGAAATGGTATAGAGTTTCCTGCCTGAGCAGGGGGTTGGACTTGATGACCTCCAAGGTCCCTTCCAACTTTATTATTATTATTATTATTATTATTATTATTATTATTATTATTATTATTATATCAGTTTAATAATCAGCAGTAAAGATCCTATTCATATATAGCTTCAAGAAACTGGATAGCTTCCCTGGTCATGCAAGATAGGGAATTCTATGAAATATGCTCAGGATTGTTTTAGGCCTGGTTAGCCAGTCCATGGGAAAAATGCTTATTGATATTTTGAAAGTGACCTGCAAGCAAACAACATCTAAGATACCTGCAGTATTTTTGTGTATATGAACCAAGAACAATTATATATAATATTGTGTTGTAGATCATCCAGTTGCTTTGATAGTGAGATGGGTGGCATAAAAATTTAATAAATAAATAACAATAGCAATATCACTTATATACCGCTCCATAGTGCATTACAGCATTCTCTGAGCGGTTTACAATGTCAGCATATTGCCCCCAACAATCTGGGTCCTCATTTTACCAACCTTGGAAGGATGAAAAGCTGAATCAACCTTGAGTCTGTTAGGATTGAACTCCAGACTGTGGGCAGAGTTAGTCTGCAATACTGCTTTCTAACTAATTATTGGTTCTACCTGAAAATCAGAACTCTATACTAGAAATGAAATCCTGTTATGTTCACCCCTATCCCACAATAATAAATAGGTCTATAGTGCATTTCACCAGAGCAGAAGTAGACAAAATACAGATGTGAATTTATTGAAAAATTTCTGGGAGATCTGCAATAGATTAGTAAGTTTTCCTAATTCGCAACTGTTTAACAGCAGCAGCAATTAAATATCTCTTTTCTGCCCTGAACAACATTGCTGACATGAAGAAACTAAGATAAGAAAGAGTGACTTTGGGAGTGAAAGGACTGTAAGCACATTCATTTTCAGTGATCAAAACAAATGTCTAGAGTCAGAATCTTTAAAGCTTAAGCTTAAGATTTTTGCAGCAGGTACTGGTTTGTGGAACAAACAGCTATTTAGAATCAGAATAAATCAGTCTGTTTCTCACCCTTACTACAGCAAAAAGTATCAAATATCTGTTTGGGGACTCAAAAATAGATTTTAAGAGGTCATCTGTTCCCACTCCTATCAATCTCCATGCCCCTATAGTCAGAAATTGGTCTGTCAATAATTAGCCCATTTTGTTACTAAATTTGGCAGCACAGCCTCAGGGTGCCGAGAGACTGTAAGCAGGGTTGGCAGAGATTTTCAACAATGTGCTGATCCAAAATTAACTTTCCATTCCAAATGTTTTTAGAAGTAAATCTAATAAACTGAAGTCTATTCATCTTGCTTACCAGATGTTTTCAAATCATCATCATTAGATGTTTTTTTTTAAAAAAAAAAAAAAAAAAACCCTGAGCCTTATTCAACATTTTGTCATGTAATCTAACTTACCTGCACTTGAAAACTTGGTCATGGAAAGATCTGTTTTTAATTGATGAGATTTTTGCAAAACCTTTATCTTCTTTGTTGGATAATGGTCCATCTGTAGTAAAGACTGGTGATTTGTTTATCCCTTTAAATTCAAGAGATGACTTGAAAGGATTCCTCTTATCACCTTTGTGGTGTTTATTGCTGAGAAGTGAAGGCACAGAGGAGATGGAATAACGCCT